ATAAAAACTGCCCGCGCGGGAGCCCAGGCCAGCTTCGGGGTTGTCCTGGGACGTGTCCTTCTTCCTGCGTCTCACGATCAGGCGAAGGCGGCGGCCACATATCTTTTGACTAAAGGACTCAGCGTCCAGTGCTCCAGCCGAAGGATCTAAGGGTACTGCCCCCAGCGCCGCCACCATGCCCAACTTCTCTGGCAACTGGAAGATTATCCGATCGGAAAACTTCGAGGATTTGCTCAAAGTGCTGGGTAAGGAGATTTTCCAGCACCTGGGAGAGGGGAGAGGAGTGGGGGCCCCCGGAACATTTGGAGGTGGGTAAGAGAAAAAAAAAGAGGGGGCTAGAATCAGGGCTTGGGAGCCGAAGCCCCCTGCATCCCCAAGAAAAAGGGGCCTTACACCTGGGGCCCGGGGCTCTGGGTCGGGACACCTAAATCCTGCTTTCTCTGGCCGGGCGCCCACCGATGCCAGCTCCTGCGGTGACTCAGCTGTGAATCAAGTAGAAACCAGAAGCACGAGGTCGGTATCCCTTGGGGTGGGGAAGAGGGGCTCTCTTCAGTTCAGAAGCTGCAAACCCTGAGAGGCAGGGAGCCTGGGACCCTCCCCCACCCAGCCCCTCGGAGACATTTGGGCCTCCTTCCCTTGTCCCCGCTGGTCGCCCAGTCCCAGGGCAAGTTCATTACCCCTGCTCTCCCCCGGCCAGGTGATGGCCACCTCAGTGCCCCCTTGGTCCCTGTCCCATCCCCCTTCAGCACTTTCCCCTTGGCTCCCTCCTCACCCCCATCTGTGAGACACATATTTTCCTACTGCGAGCTCGAGTCCTAAAATCGCTCTAGATAATTATCACTTTCTTCGATTTCAACAAATGGCCTCGTGTGTAATTTCCTCACTCCCCTTTCCCAAAATCTGAGTTCTTGGCTCCCTTCCTCCCTGGAGACCCACCACAGCCCAGCAGGGTTAAAGATAGGGGAAGTGGTGCCCACCCAGACGGCCCTTCCCAGTTCTTGAGGGCCCTCTGTCTGGGAAAGGGGTGAAAGCTAGGAAATGGCTGGAGAGGGGGCTCTGGGAAGAGATGGAGGTTAGTTAAGCAATTGAGAAGCCACTTGGGAGCCCTAGAGCCATACGTTTTGGGACTGAACAGAGAAAACCCAGTCGGGCTGGGTGGGGAGGTGCACCTTGTGTGGGGCAGGGAGCTGTAGGAGTGAATCTGAACCTAGGAAGGGTCTGGAATGCGATAGGGAAAGCAGGGATATCCATCGTTCTTTGCTGTCAGTTCTTCTTGCAGTCTAACCACAGTACAGGTAGTCACGTCAGTCTTTCCTGTTCTGCCCTTGCTGAAATGAAAAACTGAAAAGATAGAAAATTTCCCTTCAGAAAGCCTAGATGTCGTTCCCTCCCCCATCTTCTCTGGATTTGGCCCCTCTCCCCCAGTGGATGAGGCACCCGCAGTCCCCAGCTGGACAATAAGATCCAAGGCTCAGCCTTGTTGTCTGTCTGGCTTCATCTGTTTGTCCTCCCTGCAGGGTCTCTCTCAGAGCCACGTGCGCTTCTCAGGTCCTGCTGGGGGACAGATTGAAAACAGAACCATTAACACAGTCCTGAGTCAGCCCAGGTTGGCTGAGCCTGGACCCAGCTCCACAGGCTGCAGAGGCTGGCTGGAGGGCGTCTCTTCTGAACCCCACAGCCTTGCCTCCACAGGAACCTCAGTCCCTTCTCACCTTCTTTTGCCCTAGTCAAGGGTCCCTCTTCTAGTGAGGGATGCTCAGGTATTTGGAGGATAGCTGTCCCCTCAGTATGATGGCCATGGCACGGACAGGTTCTGCTCCTGTAACAGGAAAGATGGGTGTTAGATAGTACGATGGACTCCCCAGGCAGCAACAGAGTGAAGTAGTCTCTGTGCAAGAAACTGGAGTGGGACGTGTCTCCTCTACCAAGTCAATTGGACCTGGAACCTCAGTCATTTCTCCCTGGAACCGAGATTAGCAGTCAAGAACTGGGCTCCTGGGGCTCCTGAGTGACAGGGCTCTCCCCCTCCCACTCCCGCTTTCTGGACCAGAGTGGGCCTGCTGTGTTGCCAAGAGGAAAGAGGATTTGTTTCTCTAGGAACCCAGGTCTAGAGGAGGGGCAAGGAGTTTGGGCTAGATCAGGAGTGGGGCAATCCCGCTCACCCGGCCCAGCCCAGCTCGGCCCCCTCATCCCCACCAATGGCTTCTCTGAGGGATTCTGTTCCAGTCAGGGTGGGAGCCCAGGCCAGGAAAAGTGGCTTTAAGTTTAGACCTGGGCCCTGGCCAGAGATGCCTCCCTGCCTGCTTGTCTTTCTGTCAGAGGGGTGCTTTCTTCTTGCTCCCCCAACCCTCTTAATAACTGGGGAGCAGAGGGAAGTCCAATCTGGGAAAGAATATGGGGGACAGGCACAGGGACTCTGAATGAGAATGCCTTACCACTGAGGTGGGGAGGGTGACCCTGGAGTCGGGGACATATCAGGGGAGATGTCCCTTTCTGTCCCTTGACTGGAGAAGGGTGTGGGAGCCTTCCAGGAGGGTAGATGAGCAAGAATCTGATGCAGAGAATGTCTGAGCCCCAGCTCTGGCTTTTTTCTTTGCCTTCCTTTTATCAGTAAAAGTAACAGCAACAGTAAGACTAGCTACTGTTTCTTAAAAATTCAAAGGTGTGCCTGGCATTGTGTGCTAAGCCCTAAACACACCCACCTCATCACGTTTGCTAGACTTTAGAAGAAGCTATTGTCTCCATTTTACAATTGAGGAATCTAAGGCTCAGAGAAGTTAAGCCATTTGCCTAGGGTCACCCTGTCTGCAAGGAAGGCTGAACCAGGTGGAAATCAGGGCCTAATGGATCATCCTCCAGAGCCTCTGTCTTCCCCAGGCTGCTGGCCACCTCTTCCCCTGCCAAGAATCCCTGGTCCTTCTCATTTTGGGGAGGGACAGAGATGGGGCAAATGAAAGCCTGCCTTGCACCAGACAGGGGAGGTGGATAGCACAGAGAGGGAAGTGGTCCCTACTTCCAGGACACAAGTGTGAGGCCTGGCCTGGGAGCATCTGCCCTGCACTTGGGCAGAGGTGAAGACACAGTGGCTCTAATGAGCCCACCCCAGCAGAGGGTCTCAAGTAGGGTAGACAAAAGGCCAAAAGTGAGGTGGGCAGAGCCAAGGTGAGCCCATAGCAGGATGCCTGCTGGGTGAGAGGAATGGGGAAAAGCCCCCCCTGAGAACTCTTAGAGTGAAGAGCTTAT